AAATAAAAACATAATTTAATTTAGTAATATGATTTATAATTTGAGTTTAAAGGTAATTACTTTTATTTTGTTATTTTATTTTTAAAATTAACTAATTTATATATTTTATTTTATAAAAATATTTTTCTAACACATTCTTTTGTATTTATTATGCCTTTTAATAATTAACTTTTATAAAAAAATAAAAAATAACTTTAATTTATTAAATATATAATTAAAATCATCCACATGATATTAACTTACAAAATAATTAATTGTTAAAAATTACATAAATGCACCCTTCTCTTAACTTATAAGTTTTGTTTTGTTTTGATAAATGAAATTTGTTCAAGTATGACAATAGTGGTGTTGGTTGCCTAGTGGTAGAAAACCTAAAATGTTTTGATAAATGAAATTTGTTCAAGCATGACAATAGTGGTGTTCGTTGCCTAGTGGTAGAAAACCTAAAATGTGTGTTGAGGGAGTGGGGTTCAAATGCCCAATTTTGTTCAAGTATGACAATAGTGGTGTTGGTTGCCTAGTGGTAGAAAACCTAAAATGTGTGTTGAGGGAGTGGGGTTTGAATGCCCTTACACACAAACTTGTTGAAAGGTGTCCAAAACTTTGTGAACCAAATAGTTCAGTGGTTCAACTGTTAATGAATTTGATTGGTTTTTTTTCAATTTTGACCAAGTTTGACTTATTTTGATTGACTCTCACTATGAAATTTTGTTCGAGTATGACAATACTATTTGTAAAACTGATTCATGTTATTATTTGTAAAACTGTTCACTAAGAGAACTTCTCCCTTACAGAGTCCAACTCAACTCTGGATTAATCGGAATCCAATGTGACTTCCAGATATCGGAGGGTTTAGTACCAAAAAAAAAATAATAATAATAATATCATAACTAATTAACTACTACTATTGCACTTTTTAGGACTCTTACAATCCTCATCATCATCTTTTCTCCTTCTCACGTAGAATAAGTCACTGGTTCATCTCTTACCATTCAACAGTTAGTCATGATATTATTTGTAAAACTAATTCATGTTAATATACTATGTTGGATCTGGCCTCATTGCTGCTAAGTGAAGTTCTAGGCTCCCCAAACCTAGTTCTATTTAAGCTCTTAACAATCTTTAGGCAATTATTTTCTTCTTTATTACAAGAGTGGACAAACGTGTTTTTAAAGGAAGTGATATTCTAATAGTTAAGAGGGTTGATCTCCCTTGATGGAAAAAGAAACTGATTTTTTTTTTTCAACTTTTTTGACTATTTTGCTGCTCTATCTTGTGGTGATGCACTCACATAGGACTAGTGTTCCTAGTGCTCAAAAGAACAAATTTTATATATAGCAAGTAAACTTGACTATCATGAGTTGTTGATTTCTTGTTTTGTTCTCTCGTTCATAATATATCTTGAAACTTCTGGTATAGACTCTGCTCTTATTTTTACTTACTCGTCAATTTTATGATTAATATATCAAAAGGACAAAAAATAAAAAAATAAAAGGAAGAAGAAGAAAGAAGTAGAAATTATACATTTGCCCACGGCCTTTAAACTTGAGATGCCGAATCCTAGTGCCAGTGATTGTAAAATTTAAACATTATATAATTATCTTCCATTTCATCAGTAGATTTTATTCAACTTCTCTTGCATTTGCAGAGCTTCTTGGAATAGGACCCAGACCAAACACCTTCAGTTTTGCCGAGTTGAGGGCTGTAACAGATGACTTCATCAGTCCCTCAAATAAGTTAGGAGAAGGGGGATTTGGTCCGGTATACAAGTTAAGCTATTGCTTAAAATCTTAAATTTGTTTTTAATGAGATTGAAGATTCATATGACAATGATACTGAAAAAAAAAAAAAACACTTTATGTACATTATAGGGTAAACTTTCCAATGGGCGGGTACTAGCTGTGAAGCAGCTTTCAGTAGCATCTCACCAAGGGACAAGTCAATTTGTTACTGAGATTGCTACCATATCTGTGGTGCAAGATCGCAACCTTGTTAAACTGTACGGATGCGGCATCGAAGGAAACAGACGCCTCCTTGTTTATGAGTATCTTGGGAATAAAAGCCATGACCAAGCACGCTTTGGTATGATTGAACAAGTTATTTGCTCCCTTTTAGCCTTTATGCAGGAAAATGAAATATATCTGCATCTGAATTCATTTCTTCACCAAATTAATCACTATCCATAATATTTCCTACCTCATACATGCAGGAAATAAAGACTTGCATCTTGATTGGCGAACCTGCTTCAGTATCTGCCTGGCAACTGCTAGAGCACTAGCTTATTTTCATGAGGAATCAAGGCCGAGGATCATACACAAAGACGTGAAGGCAAGTAACATTTTGCTTGATTCTGAGCTCTGTCCGAAAATATCTGACTTTGGGTTGGCAAAGCTATATGATGACAAGAAAACTCACATCAGCACCCAGGTTGCAGGAACAATGTAAGCTCCTTGAATCACTATATCAAAAGGATACCTTACTGTTTGCATTATATTGTGGCTTGTATATGTTATAGGTTTCATAGCATCAAGCCATCAATGAACTCCAAAGACGTTGTATCATAAATAGAGAAATCATCTTAATAAACCTTCACCATGCAAATTTAATTGCTTAATTGCAATATTGGCAGTGGCTATTTGGTACCAGATTATGCAATGCGTGGCCACCTCATTGAGAAGGCAGATGTCTTTGGCTTTGGTATTGTTGCTTTGGAAATCCTTAGTGGAAGACCAAACTCTGACAACAGCCTGGACAATGACAAGATCTATCTTCTTGAATGGGTAAAGAAAGAAACTCTTTGCCTTTTTTCCTTCTTTATTGACATATTCCTTGGGCATGACATTTACTTATACAATTTCTCTAGGCATGGACTCTGTATGAAAGCAACCAGAGTCTAGGTCTGGTGGATCCAACCTTAGTTGAGTTTGATGAAAATGAAGCTTTAAGAATGATAAGATTGGGACTCCTGTGCACCCAGGCATCACCAATGATACGACCACCCATGTCAAGGGTTGTAGCTATGCTTGCTCGGTATATCGAAGTGAGCCCTGTTGAATCAAAACCAAGTTATTTAACTAAGACTCTAAGGACATAACAGCCAGCTTCAAGGCTGAAAACTCACCATCTACTGGATCTGAGCACAGTGATAACAAGAACAAGCACAATCTTAATCCAGGGAAAGAGCTGGTGCCTTCTTCATTAAATATCACTGAATTCAGTGACATTATTGGGGAAGGTAGGTGAGAGATGTTCTTCCTTAAAAGCTCCATTCTGCTACTTCTCCTGCTTCTACCTCTACCACATATTTTCTAGCTCTATAAAGTAGATACTGAAATTGTGTGAATTCCTGTAATTCATACCATTTATATGTTGATCATTTGTGTGTGTGTAACTATCGGCTTGCAATAAGGCTGCAATGTTTGTAACTTATAGACGTCATTCCTATCATGTAGTAAAATACTTCAAAGCTAGACAATTGTTTTCAATTCTATGTAACATAATTATTTCTTACACACCACCTCTAGTACTCGTCACACCACCTACTCAAACCAAGATATCAGCTCCTATGTTTGCAACCGGCTCCAATTCAATCTCAACAGTCGCAACAGCACCACATGACTCCAATCTGCGAAGCCAAAGCGGTAGCATTTCTGGATCTTTCAGCAGTGCCTTCTTCCCAAAGAAAGAATTCAACGCTGCAAGAAGAATTACAATCGCTGCAGCAAACTCAGAAATTCGTTTAGTATTCTTTGCAGCATGAGTGAGTCTCGTGTTGAGTTCCCTCGTAGAGTCAACAACTTACCTCCAGAAAGAGAGCGGGCACTAAGCAATGTGCCTCTTATGCCACTTCTTGCCACTTCTATCCTTATAATACCATCCTTGGAAATCCTCTGTTATAATATTGTGAACTTATATTTGAGATTGCCACTTATTTTATGAAAACTTGAACAATCTTCACTGCAATGGTTCATTAATAGAAATTTTAGTTGGTGCTTCCATTAGAAAAATCAAAGCAAGAGAAACATCGTCCTATATACAGATAAATTTAGCTATTGAAATTTAATGAAGATTCATCAACTTCCAGTGGTCTTACTGATGCTGAAAGAACCTGTGGGTTCGGGAACTACATAAATAACTTTTCTTTTTGGTTGAATAGAGTTTTGGTTTAATCACAAATCTCCCAACTATAAATGATTGAATTTATTTATTTATATTTATATATTTTTTTAAGATAATTATTTTTTTTATTTCAAAATCTTAATTATTTATAATAAAAAATAAATTGTTAAAATTTTGTCTAATTAATGTATATATAAATTGTGAACAAGGGAATCTTTATTCTTTTTAAAATTGCTTTTTGTTCCTCATATTTTTCATTTTTAATA